ATAATGGCATCATGGTTGATGCCCAAAACCAGTAGTATTCTTGAACCCCCCCAGTCACTTTTTCTTCATTCATAGCAGTGCTTTGAATGAAAAGGTGGCGACATTTTTCATGTCTCAGGGAAATAATACAAACTTCTTTGATGCCTTATACAGAAAAATTGCTGTCACAAAAAAACCAAAACAACAAAATCAAAACAAACAAACAAAAACACCAAAAAAAAAAATCACACACACACAAAAAAAAACCAACCCCCCAGAAAAACAGCCAGCAGCATTTTAATAGCTGTAAAATGTAATGGCATTTTAATAGCCAGGCTACAAGTGTACTTGAAAATTTTGTTCTATCTGAAGATGATATAATTTCTATTTCTACAGTTGGAGGCCAGCTAACTGACCATTTCTTCCAGCTGAATCTAAATGGCACTACCATAGAAGCACATTTCAATAACACAGAAATCTCTGTTGATTCAGAAAAAAAATGACAAGACACACATGCACCAAAAACAAACAAACAAACAAATAACAACAACAACAACAAAACCATCTTTGCATGGACTGCCCATGATCTGAATTCTAAGGTAAATTGAGAAACCACATCCTTGTGGTGCTGGATAATGTGTCACAGAAAGGCTGTAGCTGTCACCATGAAGCCATGTGGAGCTGACAGTGGGATGGGAAAGCTTTTGTGAGAAAGCTTTCTCTTCTCTCAGGTTTCCCAGCTTCTGTTCCTTAATTTTCCTGGTCACTGACACAGTTTTTCTTATAGGAAATCTGACTGGAAGTGCCTCACAGACTGGTGCACATTTATGACCAGTGCAATCTAGAAAAGTCAAGTCACTGGAGAGATTAGTTTCTCCCAGAAAAGTGGTGGGAGGGCAGTACATCACTAGTCATCAAGTTCTGGTCTCCTTCCTTTAGAAGAAATTAGTATTTTAACCAGTTCATAAATTGTCCATGTCAGGAATCAGAACTGTTAATCTGGGAAGAGAGAGCAAACAAAATTTCTACATGTTGATACATTGAATTTTCTGTTTACATCTACCTAGAGTCACTTCAGTCTTCAAAGGTTTCTCAGGCTCTCTTAATCAAAAGGGTACCTAAAGCTGAGGGAACACCATAAACATCTTATGCAAAGTTGCTTCATTTTTGCTTTAGTTTGCAACTAAATATTTTCATTTCTGAAAAAAATATATTTTAAATGTTAATTAGGTCTTTTGATTTCACATTTTGGCGTTCCTGTGTATACATACCTTCTGATGTATCATGGTGGCCCACACGCCAAGAAATCCTTCCCCGGGTTCGTGGAGGGTTTTATTCAATGTTACCAAGGCTTTCCAGCCTTCAGAAGAGTGTATGAACTCATCATTGCTCAGGTAAAAATCCTCATTTAAGTGGGTGATGTCTATACCTAAACTTTAAATACAGCTATGCCTTCTAAACTTCGGAGTATTTTCAAAGACACTACAAATGACACTTGTTTTCATCAACATTCAACAAAGGAAGTCAGTATGATTATTCATATTTTACAAAGAGGGAAATAAATTATGAAACTTAAGTCAGGACTTTTTTCCCAACTTTTGCTGTTTGTGTTTTTAAGGAAAAACTTACGCATTCTTTCACCATTTAACCTTTTTTTTAAACGGTCTATAAGTTCCTTGGCACACTACTAGTGCTAGCTGTCAAAGTCTTGAAACAATAGAATAGATTGCCTTTTAATAAAAACTATGCATTTTAGCACTTAAATTTTAACATGCTCATGTTATTTCTTATTTTAGCTCATTATTATTTTCTCAGTTTAGCTTATGCTGCATTTGGAGTTCAGTGTCTTCAGTGAGAAGTTTACTTTTTGTTATTGTTTGTGGTAGGGCAAGTAAAGCTGAAGGAAATAAAAATATCCCATTGTCGTCTGAGTGACTAAATTCCTGATCAACAGCATGAAAAAGGCTCCCATTGGAAGATAAAATGCAGTTCCTAGAAAAGCTGTCATATTATTCTGCCATATTTGGCACAAAAAGCATTTTGAGGGTGTCCATTTATCAAGAGCAGTCAAAGTATAGAAACTCAACAGGGTCTTATGTCTTAGACGTTAGGGATACCAGCCCTACAAGGACTAAACTATTGTGTATTGCTATGTATTGAGCCTCCTTCCAGGTGGCAAACAGCTGCACCTTTTTATAAAACTTCAAAAATAAATCTGAAGTGCTTGCTTTCAGCCGATAAGTGTTATATTTAATTGAACCGTTCTGCAAATGTTATAGCTCAGGCACCCAGAAAGACAGTGAATATTTAATATATTTGTTTTGTATTTCCACTGGTCAACAGAATAATGAAATTCCTGAACTACTTCTCTTTAACTTGCCTGAAGAAAGCACGGTATGTTGCTAAATCGCTTTTCACTGGCCCTGCCGAGAAACAACTTTAATCCTTGTTAGAAAATTGCAGAGTCTGGGCCTGACAAAGAGCTCATGCCTGGTGCATTGTGAGCGCTGGGAGCGGGGAGAGGGGAGCCCTTTACAGCTGCGTGCCACCAGCCTGCCTGAGCTGGACTATTTAGGCGAGGAGGTTTGTCAATTCCTCCCGACAATAGAGCGAGTTTTTCAGCGCCTGTAGCTGCGCCGAGCCCCGTTGGGGATCAATGCTGGCCATTCAAGCTGCACCCTCTTTCATTGCTTTGGTTTGTTAATTTAAGACTAAAGGTCCGCTGAGGGGGTTTAGGGTGTTTAAGAAAGCTGATGAACTGTTTAAGAAATCTGATGAACTGAGAGCGTTTATAGCCCTGGTGTGGCAACTATTGGCACTGAGGGAGCTGTGTCCTTGTTGACCCTCTTGTTATTAAAAATGCACAAGTGCTGCGCTTCTCAATATTTCAACACTCTTTCATTGTCAATACCACCTTCTGAGCCCTTCAGCTTGTTGCTTGCTCTAAAGATCTTCTTAGATTGGGTTTGAAAACTTCACCTTAAACACTAGATTAGACTGATGTTCTGTTTTCCGTGCTCCTGTTGATTTGTTGAACCTTCCCAGGGCTGGAAAGCAAGTAGCAGCTTGATGGGGAGACGGGCTGCTAATATGATTTACCAGTGTACAGTCATGCACAATAAGTGTGAATAAATACAAGGGTCTCACAGAGTCAACCCTAGCCTTTCCTTTTCTCTTACTTTTTACTTTAAAAGAGTATCTCAGGAAAATGAAGTGAGTAATGCATGCCCTTACAGGAGCTGGATGAGCTATGAATAAGAAGAGAAGGGGAAATAGCGAGGCAAATGTTTTTGTTAATGTGGTTGGCTGCTGTTACGTGTCGATTTGAAAAAAATGTATAATAAACACTTACTGCTTTACTCTTACATAGAAGACAGCAAAGAATGTGGCACTAGTACCATATAATGAACATCAGCAAGAGGTGTATTGTCCTTTCACTTCTATTGTTACTAGTGGGAAATTAACTTTTTCTTAAAACCAGTTAGAAGGGATTGTTGTTGTTGTTGTTTTTAACTGTGTGATCTCAGGACAATTACCTAATCACTGAAGTTTCGGAGCTTGCAACAGATTCCCATAAGTCTTAAGTAGATCCATCCCTGCCTCTATAATGTGCTCATGGTTGTCAAAATGCGTGGCCTTGGATTCTACCTCTGAGAGGAATTTGCGGTGCTGTGCTTCTTAAAACACTCCAAAAGAAGCGATAGGAAAATATTTACTCTTCATGTTATAAAGTCCAGATTTATATTTATGCAGCTTCAGCCAATACCAAGTCCTCAAAACTAATGGGTATAAGACCAATACTTACCAGGAATCCTACTCACAAGTACTCTGGAGGGACTCTAAAAATATACTGGATGTGATTTTTATTAAAAATACTGTGACAAATCAAAATAATAATACATTTTTTTCTAATAAAATAGCAGTCATGTTTTTTCTGGACAAAGTATGTTGACGGAAGAGCAAGTACTGTGGAATCATTTCACAGTCACCACATTAAACATTTCTATTGAAAGTTTAATGCATCAAAACTAGGCAGGAAAACATATTATATTGTTTTCATTCATAAATTTGAGTAGGAAAATAAATTTCCTCCAATGTTTTAGCTTTGTTTTCAGTGCATGTAAGAATATCACAGGTATGTAGGGAGAATCTAAGTTTTACTGCATCTATCTTAGTTAACTTATTTGGCTGTACTTCAAAACACATGTTTTGCCAGAAAACTGGAATGGTCTCTTCTCAGTGATCTGGCACTGTTCAGTGTTGTTGCATGGAAAATTGATCTCAGAATTTTCGATCCTGTCTGTACTTTGTGTAAGCAAGTTTGAGCCCCTTCTGATTTCTATTTGATACGAACAGAATACATCACGGATGTGTTACTGGATTTTTTTTATGGAAGAATATCAGTTTTGAGAAAGCTCTGCTAGTAAAAAAATTCTCTCTACCAGGATTATGTTTAAGATTAGCAACTGCAGAGTCCGAGTGACAATATAATAATTGGCCTCATCTTATTGCATCTGGGTAGAATGCTTGACATAGGAATTATTATGTTTATTTAGATCAATAGAGTTACCCAAGTGAATAAGCTCAACTGTATTTTATTTTCTAGACATCTGTATACGTACAACACCTGTCATATAGTTTACAGTTTCCACTTAGTAACAACTCTGTCACATTAAAAATATTTTGCAGGTATTTACAAAGGAAATCAATACCAGCATGTATGTTTGGGGTGAAATAATGTAAATAGTAGAAGAATGTCATTCAGTGATTTAAAAAACCATATTTTATGGATATCAAATCAGTCCCACATTTTACTGAATAAATAAAACTACTTTTATGAAATGTGTATCTATCTGCCTTTTTTGTGGTGTGTTTGTTCACTTCTGTAAAATAGTAAATAGAAGAAACTCTAAAAAAATAAAAGTAATTTATTTCCAATGATTTATAATTAAAATACAGTTTAACACATTCAAAAATTAGATTGAAGCCATTATTATATGAAAATCTAGTTTCAAACTTACCTTAAAACTCGCAGTTACAATGTGATGAGACTGTTTCCTGTAAGGAAAAAATATTTATATTTATTTACTGTATGTCTTTAAGGCTTTTTACAAAGAGCTTACATTTTTATGGAAGAATTCTATTTCTTTCTTCTGTTACATCTAGTAGCCAGTAATTTATCTTCATTTTTTAGTATGTATTTTATTTTGTTTGTTAATGGAGAGGTGGCTAATGAGACATGTTAGATATGTACTCTGAATTACTTTCATGAAATATACCTTGCCTAACATGCTGCATTTTAAAATATACACACGATTTCCTCTCTTTGCATATCTCTGTATTTTGCAAAGATACAGGAAATTACATTAGAAAAGAATTTAAGCCTCTTCCCTGTGGGGAAAGAGAATGGAAACAGCTACGACACAAACTCTTTTAATCTCTCACTGCTAAAATGAAAAAAAAAAATCCCTTCTTTTTTACAGTTTGACTAAATGACATCTGGTTGGTATTTTACAGGAGGGGGAGGAAAAATGCTACAACTATATTTAGTAAAATCTCTTTTAATCCAGGTAATGTGAAAGAGCTATTATAGTAGCTGTTTGGAACTGAGCATTTTTTACAGTAACATAGACACCAACAGCAAAGAGCTTATTCTTAACCCATCCATTTGTGAATTGATGAGTGAAAACATACTCCTGCCTTAGACATAAAAAGGAAATAAGGTAGACTGTAATTATAATTAATAGTTAATGTAAAACAAAACCTTAACATGGTTATTTTGGGAGGGGTAGAGTGGTATTTTGATCTTACTTAAAAACAGTTTCCAGGGATTCTGATTTTTTTATTTAATAATGAAGTGAACTAAAAGAAAAAAAAAAACGGCAAGACAGATTCCATATGCTCTGATGATGTTTTCCTGTCTGGATTGAAAAATCTAGTTGTTGTAAATTCTCTCTCAAAATACCCTACCTGTTTTTATCCTTGCTGTTTTAGCTGTCAGTTCTCTCATGTAATTGTATCTTTAATATCCATTCTCACTGACAGATAACAAAGTGCATAATGCTATTTTGCTTGAACATGTTGTAACTGAAAGATAAAATGGCAGGTGCTAATTCATGTAAAGAACAGTCTAGGTCAAGTTATTTGATTTTCTACTGACCCATGCGATTCTCATAACAGGAAATTATATCATTGTTGACTTCAAGTGCTGATCTGTGATCATTTCAAAGTGTTTCATTACCTCTCATTACCAAATCTGTTAAATGAATACTGCAGGGTTATTTTGTGGTGTTTGTTGTTATTGTTTTTTTTTATCCTTCCTTTCAGCAATGGTATAGCAACTCCATGAAAGTCATATCCTTGTGGTTGGCTGACAGATTAGACCTTCAGCTTCACATCTACCAGCTGAAGACTCTCATCAAGATAGTGAAGGTAAATAAAATGTGTTTGCATTAGGCTGCATAGTAAAGAGAGAAAAGTAATAAAGTAATAACATGAATAAGTATAGGTCACCCTAAAAGTTAGAAAATGTGGAATAAAGTTGTGAACTTATGTAGTTTTAAATTGGGATTTTTTTTCCCACAGTTGTAGCAAATTCCAGAAGAAAAATAACTTATTAAACCCCCTGATGTTAGTTATGTGTGCACGAGTATTTGTTGTCCATTCTGGACTCAGGGACAATTAAGATTGTTCCACGGAGTTTTAACAGGTTACTTCTAGCTATACAGCAATGCTGTATGATTATTCTTACTAAATTATTGTTTGTCTTGTTACTGATTTTTTTTTGTTTTACCTTAGTAATTCCAATAGTGTTCTTTCTCTGTTTCCCCCCTTTTCCTAAAAAACAAACTATTTTCTTTTTTATGTGCATCTGATTACTAGGTTGAATTGAAAACATTCAATGTATTCCATGTATTAGATAACATTTTCTAATTTTTTGTACTCAGGAATCAGTACTCAGCATCAATAGAAATACCAATCCCTCCAGTTCAGTCCTCAGTCATTTATACTGGCCAATGTCAAATCCTTCCAAGCAAAGTGTAATATTCCTTGCAATAGGGCAATTATGGGTTAACCTACCATAAAAGAAAGTTTTCTCCTAACTCCTTTTCAGATCTTAGTCAATACCTTTAGGCAAGAAACAGAAAACTATTTCAGATTTTTTTCCTTTTAATTCTGTCTTGTTTAGCTTTGGACATTCTTGTTACCTGTATAAATGTGGAATAAGAAGCACCTGTTGTCAGTGGTGACCTTGATTGTTTCAAAATATTTTCTCATGAAGTTCATGCAAGTCTATAAATTCAGAAGCATTTTTACTCATATACACCAGAATTGCAACTGCAGCTTTCAGGATTCACTAGCAAAAAGGAGCAGAACAGAGAGAAATGCAAGAAAACAGTCATAATAATGATAGCATCATAGCTCCCTGAACCACCCAAGCTGACCTTAGCTATTTTGACATTAACTGATTTCTCTGTCAACAGGATTTAGCTCTTCACTATATTATGTGCCCAAATGGCAAAAGCAGTTTGCTATTGCTTGTTGAAATTAATGGCTCTTATGAAAAGTTTAAAGATATTCTCAAGTGAATCATAGAATAATTTGGGTTGGAAGGAACCTTAAAAATAATCTAGTTCCAACCCTCCTGCCACGGACAGGGACACCTTCCACTAGACCAGGCTGCTTAGAGCTCCATCCAGCTGGCCTTGAACACTTCCAGGGATGAGGCATCCACAACTTCTCTGAGCAACCTGTTCCAGTGCCTCACCATCCTCACAGGGAAGGATTTCTTCCTAACATCTAATCTAAACCTGTTCTCTTTCAGTTTGAATCCATTCCCCCCTGTCCTATCACTACATACCCTTGTAAAAAGTCCCTCTCCAAGGTAGTTATCATCTCTTGGAGAAAAATATAGGTGTTAGAGGATCTAAAACATGTGCCCAGTGAGATCTAAGAACGGGCAGGCTAAATTAGACCAGTGAAATATCAGTAGGGAGATGAAAAGAAGATCTTTCAAAACTGAAGTTCAGGTGAGTGAGCAGCACTGCCAGCCCACCTTCCCTGTGCCACGTGGCACACTGGTTATCCTTGTTCAAAAGCAGAAAGCCTCCAGTGGAGGTGGTAACATTCTGCTTATGGCAGTGGCCTTTCTGTGTCCATATGCTCTGCATGTAAATTTCGAGTGTGTTATTCCAGGGCACCCTCTTTGGATACCAGAGACTGAAGAAGTTGAGGTCATTTTTATTTGTTCTGGAAAACAAAAAATTTTGTGCACCTGGGTTTTGGTGGGTGGAGAAGACAGAACCAGTAAAACAGGAACTCAGCAGACAGGAGCCTGCTAAGAAACAATGGTTTAAGTAGAGTATCATAAGAAACTTTCCCTGCTGCAGCCCATCTGGAGAGAGACACGTGGGGAGGCACAGTTCCTCCAAACTCTTGTGTGCATAAGGGCACTTTTCTGTTTGCTTTTGGGGGAAAAAAAAAAAAAAAGAATAAAAAACAACCAACCAACCAAACAAAACCAAAACCAACAACAACAAAAAAATACTGGGATGCTGTATTGCCCCAGTCATCTCTTGAAGAAAAAAAAAAAAAAAGAAAAAAAAAGTAGGAGGTCGTTTTTAAGGGACATAGGATGAGTAAGAGAAATACATTTCTTTAGTGTTTGGCTGCAACAAAGGTAGTGGCATTATTAAGAAAGACTAGAAGAAGATGTGTTGTTCCCTTTATTCTCTTTAAAATCTTATGATGGCATTAAGGCTTTGTTAAATGTCCGAGACACGTACAGAGGGATATGACTAAAGAAGGGTCAAGGACCAAGAAAGTTAGGGAGAAATGAAAAATTAAGCTTGGAAGTGAACATTATTATCCTGAAAAACTGTGTCAAGAGAAGAGCAATGTCTGAACCCCAGAGTGCTGGTCTTAGAATGGGAAGAATACAAGGTAAAACTGAAAGAAATTGCTGTAGGACCTGTTAACAGCATAAAAGCAAATTGAATGCACAGTGTTATAAAAAGGGAATGCAGTGGTGACACTTGAAAAAGACCAGATGGGGTATGGGCAGGAGTGTGTGAGCAAAACATAAGCTGTGTCCGTTGACTCTGATGTTGACCTGTGAAAGCCAAATAAATCTCAGTTGCAGTGATTCCAACAAGGTTTAAATAATCATTGTAGATAGTGGCAGAAAAAAATCTCCCAGATGAATGTTACCCATTTTAAGATGTGTCTTTTGCAGTTCTTTGAAGTATTGAGTGAAACAGATCAACTCTTTTCTTTCTCTAAGGGTTGTGCATGGTCTCCTCATCAGGCAAAGGAATGGGCCTGATAGCCCTCAATTATCTTCCATTTTCTTTTCCCCATATTCTGTCATAAACATTTGGAATTTGTAGTGATAGTGTACACAAAATAAGAAGCTAGCTAGATCAACTTGTCTTTCTTAAGCTTTTTAGGGTAACATCGGGAAAGATTATTTCAGATGTGTTACAACTTAAAAATAAAGAAGGTAGGTGATTTTCCGTATGCTTACGTGAACATAGCATTGATGAATTAAACAAGTTCACTCAGAACTCTTACATGACGGAAAGTCAAAGAAGAAAGTCATATCTGCTGGTTCACAGCAAGGATAGATACCAGGGAAACAAAACCATCTCAAGTGGAAAAAAAAAAGTAGATGTGAGTCAAAATTTAGAGGAAACTTAGAATGTAAAGTAACTGAATAAAGTAGTCAGGTGAGAAACGCTGACATTTTAAAATGTAGATCATAATCTAAACTTTGATTTTCCACATTTGGCATATAAATGGAAAGATAAGTATAAGTAAAAATTACATTGTGGAGAAAAATTCAGGCATTTAATGCTTTCTGTGAAATGACAGACCTACCTGTAGCCAAATTCACATTTCAATATGTATTTAGAAGAATTCTTTGCTGGTTTCTTACTGAATAAATGAGACAAATGGAAGTTACTGAGAAATCAGCAGTTATAGTATGCTGTAGCACAAAACACAATCTCTTAAAGGAATGACCATCAAATTAGAATCTCTCAGGTTTATAGAAATCTCATGCAACCCAAAAACTAAGACGGCAAAATCTTTACCAAGATGATAGGTCCCTAACTGCAGAAGGAATGAAGCTGTGCCACTGGCATGCTAGAAATGGCCAATATACAGTAAAAAACTGCTCAAACTTGCTGAAGTCCAATTCAGGATGTTTTATTTTTGCCACAGAAATCCTACCGAGACTTCAGGTTACAAGGCGTGATGGAGGGAACGCTGAACAGTAAAACCTACGATACCATTCACAGCCGTCTGACTGTAGAGGAAGCCACAGTCTCAGTCACGGATGCAGGAGGACTTCAGGGCATTACTATGAAAGACAGTGATGAGGAGGAAGGATGATATTATCTCACAAAGCATTTGGAGTTGGGGGTGATGGTCTGTGGGTGGGGTTTATCTTTGGCTCGGGGTTTTTTTGGTAGCTTGTCCTTGTAGTTGCATTTATAGTTTTCCCTTATGATATCAGTGCAGAAATGTAATTTGCTCCACTAAAAAAGAAATTAAGATTATCAGAGGAAAAGTGCCAAGGACTTTTTGATAATAATGGTTGTAGAATATTTTTATGTATAGCTTTGCTTAGGGCTGCAAGAATACTGGCATGGAGTTTGAGTTCCACTTGTGATTATGTTTCTTCCACTTTTGTTTGTTACCATTCGTTCTTGTATCTCCATCTGATATTGACGTCCTGTGCAAAAACAAAATGTGTGTCTCACTTAAAACACAACTTTACAGGAAATCTTCCTTGGAATAAGTCAGTGCCCTAGGTGAAAAAAAATATTGTATTTTCAGAATTACTTTGTTAGCTTTATTTTGTGCTTAATTTTACATTATTATGTGATGTGCATTAAAAACTTTAATCTTGTTTCTTTGTATATTGAGGTTGGTATATAAGTAGTAGGACTTCAAGGGCAGTCAAACACATCCAAATTGCTTAGGAGTATTGTGTCTATTCAATTTGCAAGTTTAAAGATATCTCATCCTGTTGGATGTCAGTAAGCTTGCTATCAATGTTTGTATTTCTGTGAAAATTTTCAGGCAATAAGAACACATTTTGTCGTGACCATTTCTGTATCTACCCAAGTTTGTACAGAATTCAACAATTAAAAGATGTTTTCAATATTTCAAACCATTTGAACCATTGTATGATTCCTCATGAGAGCAAGTTTTTTGAAAGATTATTCTATTTAGTTTGTGATTTATAGCAAATGTTTCATTTATAGAGCAGATATATATAACAAGTAAATACTGAAGGACACAATACCTTGATAAAAGAAAAAAGCAAACAAAAACACCTCACCAGCAGATGAACACAGGACCCATTGCCTGTTTTTTGATGCCCTCAGTTTGAGGTGGAAAGAATTCAAATTTTCATCAGTCAAAACTCACACAGCTTATGAAAACTACAGCAGGCTTTTTTTTTCCTCCTTCTTCTTTTTGTGGGAGCATGAGTAATTCCCCGATTTGTGTACACAGAATCAGAAAGAACACAGATGACACCCAAAGTACTGAATGTTTCTCAGGTCCTTGTTGAGCCATAGCGTTATACCTGAAGGGCTTCACTGAGGGCATGTTGAGGGTTTATGAGGCTAACATGAGGTTTCCCTGCAAGAACAGTCTGTAAGACTTCAGGCGTCTGTTGCAAGCATGCAGGGATGCGGGAACTGAGGATGAGAGCTGCAGGGAAAGTGACTTTCAGTGCACTTGGAAGCTTGGACAAGCAGGGATGGAAGGGCAAGTTACACTTCTCTTACATGTCTACAGAGAAACTCCAGGTAGCATATTTTTTCCTGTGGCAAACCAGCTTTCTCATCTGTGCACGAGCAGAGGTGAATTCAGCAGAAGGAAGACCTGGGAGCTGGTGAGGAAGACCATTCTGCTCAGCTCTTTGTGCCCCAACTGAGTCCTTGCCCAGAGGGCCCCAGGAGGCTGGGCCCCAGGACAGTTGCAGCTGCAGTGCAATGTGTGTTTTGGGGAGCAGCGGGGCAGGAGTTAACTGCTGTAGGGCACAGTAACCAGAGAGGCAGGCAGGGGGAACACAGTGCATTCTCCTTCATTCACTTCCCATTCACGTTACCATCTCTGCTGGGCTGGAGGGAGCAGCAGTATTTTCCACTATTACCAGATGGGTTTGCTCATTTAGGTTTTGATAGCTGCAGAGGAATTACATATCCCTTTCCTATCGCTTGTCCTTGTGGTGCTAGTGCATGGAAGTTGACAGTGCTTGAAGGGCCAGGTGGGACTTGAAGGGCCAGAGTGTCAGTCAGGCACAGAGCTTCGTCTCTGCAAAAGTTTCCCTGCTTGCGCTCTCCCAACCATCTTTACATTGCTGAGACCCTGTGGAGGTGCCTGTGGAGAAGCCAGCTGTAAATAGGTGAAGGCAGGTGTCACTGCAGTGGCCCTGCAGTGCTTGCCAAGGCCTCCGAGTGCAGGGCCATGCCATATCCATGTAGAGCTCTCACTAGAAGGCATTAGGAGATTTTTAGGTTCTGAGGTAACAGGAGAGTAGGAAGTGATACGAAAACTGGACATTGTCCTTAGCAAGCCACAAACAGTGTAGGGGCCTGGAGTGGGAACTAGAAACACTAGGGACATAAGTGGCTGTCACCAGCACAGACCATGAGGTAAGTGATGGGTCTGTCTCTCCTTCAGAAGAGACCAACCTTGCATTAACACCTCTGCCCAGCCCTGCTAGCCAAAAGCCCTGTGGGAAACAGTGATTTGTACTCACCTTCCCTTTGGGCTTTTCCTCTGTCCCAAGAGGGACCTCCTTGTGCCAAGAAGGGTTTCCTGGTAAGGCAAACAACTTTTCCTATCAATTTGGACAATTACAGAACAGGTTATAGTAATTTCAGCTGTTAAGGCCTCAATAGTACTCGTAGGCCATCGTGGTCTTTAACAGGTGTCACCTGAGGACCCCACCAACTGCCTTTGTCCAGGGACTCTGCCTCAGCTTCATCCAGGGCTGCAAGTCTCTGCATCAGCAATGGAAGAGGAGCAATGGTTTCTCACTCAGCTGCAGCCCTACATGTGCTTGTTTATGTGCCCAGTTTGTCCAGATCCTGTCTCAAGGGTTGACTTCAGACTTCTGTGACCATCACAAACGTGTCAGTGATCTGGGTTTCCACCACCTCTCCCCCTGCCCCACTCGCTGGCTGGGTGTGGTGGGACTGGCCCTGGCTGGTGGGACCCTGTCCAGACAGCCTGGGGAATCCCCCCAGCGCCCTATATCTTAGGAAGCAGTCAACTCTGTCTACACCCCGACATAATTTTAAAAAAAAAAAAGAAAAAGAAAAAACCACCCAAACAGTATGACCATGAGGTTTTGTGGCTTGAAGTATGTCTGAGTTAATCAAATTTCATGAAGCATGATGCATGTAAACCCCATATGTCGAGCATTTTGCTATACGATTTTGTCTGCATGCAGTACTTGCAAGACACGTTTATCAGTTAAGATGGAAATGACCAAGGAAATAGTAAAAAAAACCAAACAAACACCAAACCAAAACAAAGATGATTTGAGTAAGTAAATAGTAAAAAAAAAAACCAAACCACAAACCAAAGGCCAAAGATGATGTAACCATGATAAAGAAGTTACAAGATGTTTGGGATTTCAGAGAAATTAACTCAGACACAAAGTATGTATAAGTTATTGCTAGAGAGACAGCACAGCAGACATCAATGGAAGGCAGATGCAGAAATGACAGTGCTTCAAAGGTCTTTTCATTTCTTCTAAAGTCAAGTATTTTCTTAGTAACTAGGTTTGTGAAACCGTGAACCAATACCAAGCTTGAGAAGTCCGGTAGAAGTCCGTGACCATTCCACCGCTGGACACGGCCGCTGCCAGCAGCCGCGGCAAAGCCCCGCGAGGGCGGGCGCAGGGGTCACCTTTACATCTTAACTGGGGTGTTTAAACCCTCAGCACGCTCCGGAGGTGTGTGCCCGTACCCAGCGGCCACATCGCCTCCCTGCGAGGCAGCCAGCGGCGCACCCGCCACGCTGTCCTGGGGCTGCGGGAGCCTCCACGGGGACACTGCCCCCGCCGCCGCCTCCTAAGCGGGCATGGAGTGCAGGAAGCCTTCAGCAAGGGGGCAGGAGGAGTCTCGTTTAATTCCCCCCCACCCCTCACCCCGCGCCCTAATGGTATAAAAGGGTCTGTAGAAGCCGAACCAGAAGAAGCCATGGCCGAGTGCGCGCCCCGCGCTGCGAGCGGTGCTCGGGGCCGGGGCAAGAAAGCGGCGCTGACCCTCACAGCTCTCCGGCCACTGGGCAGGGGGTTCCCGGGGCCAAGAGCTCGCCCCCTCGGCTATCGCTTACCCTGGACAAGGGGTAAGCCAAGGCAGCGGCTGTGGGAATCTCCGCGGCGACAAGGGCGACTTCAGGGCACTGAGCCTCCCACCTCCAGCCGAGCAAAACCTCTGTCCCGGCACCGCAGCTCCCCTGCTGCGCTGCCCGCCCCAGCCGACCAAGCCCGCATCGGCGGGTCCCGCCGCTGATACTGGCGGTCCTAGAGCGGCCCCGCGCTGTAAACCCGACCCGAGCGGAGGACAGGAAGCCCCCTGTGCAGGAGCCGGCGCAGCTTTGGAGGGACCGCTAGACCGAGAGGCTCCCGGGGCACCGGGTGCTTATCGAGAGGGTTCCCAGCGGAGCGGCTTCCCTCCTCTCTCCTGCCTCCCTCCTGTCCCCTGTGGATATGACACTCACACAACTCCTCCCGAGGAGATCTCGAGTGTGGTGTTTCCGGGCTTGAGGGGCCAGAGCTCCTCCTGGAACACACCAGAGTCCCGCCGCAGAGGGCAGCCGGGGCACCAGTGTCAACTTTCTGAGTGGGCAGCAAGTGCAGCTCCACGAGGGACACGGCGATGAGCTCGGGGGTTCGGGGAGTGGTTGTAAGGCTGTGAGGCGGGTTCCTGCACAGAGAGTGCCCGTTTTGCACCTACCTGTGTTTTGAATCAGACGTTTGACTGTCAGCAAACGAGCGCGGAACAGACGGCGGGAGCCGCGTGGCAGCAGCAGGGCAGTAGGGAAGCCGAGAGGGAGCCGGGTTCGTTCTGTGCGAAACGGACGGAACCCTCGACGCCCTTGAGACCCACGGAAACATCATGGCCGGCCTCCCACCGGCACGGGCGCGTTTTGTCTTAAGAGCGACTGGGGAGGAAAAAAAAAAAGAAAAAAAAGAGGCAGCTAAACAAACAAAAAGGAACAATCACATACACACATAAAGTTTACTTTTACAGCCTTAGGAGTACTGTCGTGTCGCCCCTCCCCCCGCCCTGTCCCGAGTGATGCTCAGTTCTCCCTTGTGTCCGTGCCCGGGTAGGGGCGCCGGGCGAGCAGGCGGGGTGACGGGGAACCCTCTCCGGGATCTGTCCAGGAGCGGCCGCGACGGAGCACGGCTCCTGGTTTTGTTCCTATTTTCACATTTTTCACTTGGCCTCTCCCTCCCTCTCAGCAGCGGCGAATCGAAACGGGCCCCACTGGAAGCGAGAGAGGTCCGGCAGGCACCTTCTCCCCGTCGCCATGGCGAGCCCGGCCCACACAGCGACCAGCTCTTTGCTTTGCTCCAAGTTACCTCCCAATACACTGACAGAAAAACGGAAACAAAAAATAAGTTAATTGCTCCTGATCCGATTCAGGAATCTTAAAAATAAGTATCTTCCCCCAGCCCAAAGAGCGCGAGACGTTCATTTAGTGGCAACGGGGCTAAACATTTGTTGAACTGGGAAAGGAACAAATGAGAAAGTGTCATTCATGGCTCCAGCTGCCGCTGGCCTCTCCCAGCCACTTCCACCAAGGGCCCTTTGGAGCTGATGACACCGCTGGGTCCCCTCACAGGCGGACTGATTAGATTAGACGTGATGGCTGCGGTTCACGTTTGGAGCTGGCACACTTAGCCAAATCGCTCGCATGAATTACGGGAGGGCCGGAAGCACTGCTTTAGAGGGTCACTTGTAATTTCGTTTATATGTGATTAAAGGCTTTATACGTGAAAAGGCTTAATTTGCACCAGTTTGTTTTTCGATTTAGAGGGATCTGTACGAAATGTACAGTACTTCCAAACTTTGTTTCACCTCCGGCAACACTTGTGTTGGGCGGGTCAGTGTCAACTGGTTTTCGTTTGTGATGGATTCGGTTAAAAATAGCAGCACTGTATTTTTTTGCTTGTAGTGGAACTGCTATAGAAGGATACCAACACACCCTCACTGTATGGGAAGACTACACATAGTCTCTGAAGGCATACACACACACGCACATATATTATTAATTTTTTCCACCGGAGAAAGTGTCAGTTGAGAAAACGTCGAAGTGTTACAACTTAACGCAGCAAAGCCCAAGCGCCTTTGCCTGCGCTCCCGAAACAGCAGAGCTCGAGACTCTGCGCTGCGAAGTGCGCCCGAGCTCTACGGCCGCCCCCTTCTCGCCTCGCCTCGCCGGGGCCGGGGCCGGGTCGGCCTGAGAGCCATGTACCCCACCCCAGCAGCCGGGCGGGTAGCGGCAGCAGCAGATTCCACCTAAAAAGACGGCGGCGCGGGCTGATAAACGGTGACGGCGGATGACCCACCGGGGTCTGCTTCCCTCGCTTTAACTCCCCCGTTTATGTTTTGACTTCCCTTCAAAAGACAGTAAACAATAGTGGGAATAAACAGAGAGCCCTTCAGCCCCGCAGCAGCCGGGAGCTAATTCCGAATTAGCCGGGGCCAGCGTGTTGAGCCGCGGCGGGTCTGCGGGCGGACGGGAGGGGGGACACGGATCGGCGGGCAGGGCACGGCGGCGGCGGGGCTGAGGGAGGACGGCGCTGCTGTTCCGTGTCGGGATAAATCGCCTCTTCACAAATTCGGCGGCTGGGAAGGGGACGGCTCGGACTGATGCGTATCGAGAGCAAACCCGAGCTTTAGCAGCGAATCCCGGTGGTGGCACTATTAATGACGACTACTAGAACAATAATAACAGTAATCAGGGTCTGGCCAGGCGCTGTCGGGTCCGTTGGTGTCGCGGCCAGAAGGATGCTCTGTAACCTCCCGGGTTACCCGCACACTTGGGTTGCTCGGAGACGCCTCGGAGCCAGGCGGGTCGCTTGCCCTCCCTGCCCTTCCCCGGGGAGAGCCGGCTTCGGGCGCGCAGAGGGAGCAGCCCGCTCGGGCAGGAGCGTTGTGGTAAAACACTACCAGGAAAATATTAATACACGCAACAGAAGGTTAGCGGAGCTATTATCCTTTTCAATTCATTTTTTACTTAAAAACGCAATGGAATTATTCATTTTATTAAGGGGGAAGAAATTAAAGATTAGGCTTTAGGCGGTATTTTACCTCCCTCTAATCGCTTCTGGGATCGGATTGGAGTAATCCTGACGACGAGATGAATTCGCCAGTGACTCGGATTTTGAATGCATGTAGAGATACGTTATGATAATAATGCAAGTGAGCAATATCAAGAACATAGCTTAGGAGCGAATGAAACACAAAGCTGATTACGGGGAAAAAGAGAACAGCAGCTTTCCCGGGCAGAGCACGAAATCAACTCGAGGCAAAACTTTTGCCCTTAATTCCTCCGACGGTTCGTAACACTGGGAGGCCGGCAGGCCCGCTCCTTCCCCCGTCGGCCCCTTCTGCCGGGACTCGATAACTGCCGCCAGACTGGAGGGAGCCCCGGGCCCGTCGTGAACCCGCCAAAAGAAACCAGCCAAGAAGTTTCTTATTGCTACCTTCAGAGCCTGTAAATCTTTCTGCCTCTAGCAAAACAAACCTGCACTAGCACGACTGCAGGACATTTGCAGCTCAGCAGATATGCAAAATCGCTAAAAAGATGCGGTCCGAGAGCAAGGCAAAGCTCAGGACAGGACTGGAAAAAACCGACACTGATTTTAGTAACTCTATCTATACTGCGGGCAACTCCAGAATTAACAAGACTCCATCTCTGAGACGGAACAGATGACTTTCCCCCAAAAAGAAATTTTTAAAACGTTGCTTTTAGATCGCTATTGAATAATTAGACACTAACATAAGTTTTTCTGCACAGTACAAAAAGAAAGGGAGACGTATCCGAAAGGAACTAACGAATAATAAAGCTCCCGTTTCTCCAAGAGTGTATCTCAGTATGGAGGATAATTGCAATGGCAGGGCTGTAATTGCTGCTTTGGGATATTTACCCTGCTCAAATGACACTACATATTTTACTTTCAAACACATGTCAAAAAGTCAATCCCAAAAAGACTAGTTAAGAGCAAGTTGTTAACATATTAAGTATATGGGATTTGAAGCCTCTAAAACCCACTCAACAATAATTCCCTTCTTCAGCACCAATCAAGAGGAAATTTGCCTAGATTGAATTAAATGTAAATTGCTCTGAAGGAGGAAACTCTCCTCTGGCGGACACAAAATACGCGAGAGACACCGACACACCGGAGAAGCAGGGGAACACGGCTCCGGCCCCGGTCCCACCGCCCCCCTCCCCCGCGGGTCACTGCTGCCTCCTTCTCCCCCAGGTCGGTGACACCGGTCGAGCCGGGGCTGGTGGTGCCAGTGCGGGAAGGAGCAGGTAAGAGGCAGGCGGGTGCGGCAGCCCGATCAAGGTCAGCAATTACGGTCTTAACGCCCTGACCCATGTGCCGTGGGGGACTGGGGGTAGGGAGGGGGAGGTGAGCGGCGCAGCCCCGGTCAACGGCCCCCCATGCAGGCCGGGGGGAAACAGGGAGCGGGGCATCACGGTTGGAGACCCCTCAGGGCCCAGCACGGATTCCGCCCTTCCTTCGTCCCACTCTTGCCCGCACGGCTGTGTCCACCCCGGCAGGTTCCGAGGCCAGCCCCGGCTCTTGTTGCCCGCCTGCGCTCCGGGCACCGGCGGGACGGGGCAGACACGGAGGTTGCAGGGCGTGCGGGGCACATCCTCTGCAGCGAGGGGTGCACGGGCCACGGCCCATCGTTCGACGTCCGTCCCGGAGACAGCAGGATATTCTCTTCCTCCGTCCCCGCTGCTCCCCGTTGCTGGCACGGAGCTCCCGGCCACGGAGGTACCGTCGTGGAACAGCCGCTGCCTTGCCCTCCTCAAACGGAGCCGCGGTGGCCCGGGGCGGCGTCGGCCAGGTCCAACCGCCGAGGGCGAGGATGCCTCCCTTCATCCCTCCTTCCGTCCCTCCATTCCTACTTCCCTCCCCAGGCCCCCAGCCCTCATCATCCCTGCTCTCACTTTCCCTCAGGTTGGTTGTCCTGGGCCGGGAGGTGATGGGGAGACACAGCCTTTTCGGGTTCTTCGGATGGTACCAAGAGCAGCGGGGGCCGCGCCTCCCTTGCCTCGCTGGAGGCTTCTCTCCATTAGCAAAACCGAGACCTCCTGCTTCTCTCCCTCGGTCCCGGAGAAAGGCAGCGCTGGACATCTGGAGGGAAGGCTGCCCCATGGGTCCCTCCGCTGGGGGAAGCGGCCCAGCCGCTCTCTGCGGGAGGTGGAAAGAACGGAGGGACCCTTGGCTTCTCCCTGGGGTTACTTCGGTAGCAGCCTCTCAGTGAGTAGGCAAGTGAACCCCAGGCCGGAGGAAAAACGGGATCTTGTCCTGAGCCCGAATTGTCGAGTGGTGGGATGGGCGGGAACACAGAAAGCCCCATACCCACTGCTGCCCCTCTCTTCTCCCCGACCACCCCCGCTTCGCTGTAAGTACGAACAGCCGCTGGAGCTGCCCGCCCCGAACAGGGCCGTCAAGCTTCTCTTAAATACACGGGCATCGCATCTGTTTAGGTGCATATATACCTATAAGCAGTGTGGAGCCTGTATATTCCTTCGTGTATCTATACCGGCCCTGAGTTTTCGGTATTTGTGTTGTGCATGTATCATGTAAGGACAGACAAGCTAAACTTAGTGTATATGCAGGTTACATATATATATATGTATATAAAAATATATAAATACTGCTTCAGATTTAAAAGGCACTCCCTACCTCTTTTTTCTTCTCTTCCCCTGCCCCAGGTTTTGAGTCATCCTTTTGCTCTCAAGCACTCGTTCTATTTGGACCGGGAGGTGCCTGCCTCCCCTCGCGCTGCTCTGGCCGTCTGCTTGCCGCAAGTCCCCCGCCTAATTGTCTACCGTGTTTTCCAAAAGCTCACCACCATCTGACCTTGTTCTTTAAAGCAGTGAGCAGACCGGGAGCAGTCTCAGGAGCAGAGCAGCCATCTCCCTCCCTCCCTCAGACACACACACGTACGCACGCACAAAGAGAGCTCGGGCTGGAAAGTGGCAAGGAAATAAACAGCTTCCCCTCCAGCCGCTTCTTCTGCAGCACCTCGTTTGACAAATACCCTGGTGCTTGCCCTTGAATTGGGTTTCACATCCCTATTTAGTTCTTGGACAATGATTTTAGATGATGTCACTTAAAGCCAAACAAGAAAATTGATCTCGGATTTGCTTGGCCTCTAAAGCTTGGTTAAGCAGATTGCAAATAATAATAATAAAAAGAGAGAGGGAGGGAGGCAGAGGGGAGAGCGGAGAGGAGGGAAAGCCACCTCCTTCCCTGGGCGGGGGAGGCGCGGGCGCCAATGAAAAGTAACCGCTTGCTGGGGGGGAAAAAACTTTTCCTGTTGACTGTTGGAAGCGAATTGAGCAATTATCTAGTTTACCTTCTCCTCTTGGAAGTTAACGATTGGCGAGATCTTGGCTGCGTTATTGACACAACACTTTCTATTGATAGAAATAAGTAGCGATTGTCCCGAGTCATTGGTGCGCCAAAGTAAACTGTGATGGGCTGGCATGAGTCCACTGGACTGAGAAGGCTGGTTCCGCCGGCGGAGACTGTGGTGATGGTGGCGGCGATGATGCTGGTCTCCCTCCTCGCAGATCAGTAACAAGAAAAGGGGCAGAGAAAGTGAAAGAGAGAGAGAGGGGAGAGGAGGGAAAAAAAAAAAAAAAGAGGCGTCTACCAGAGCGGCACAAACCGGGCGAACAAATGCAATTCAGCCATGGACAATAGTGGCCACCACACGGCGACCAAAGCCCTAGCGACTCCTCCAGCCAGAGAAAGCCTGTCTGCCAGGAGCAACATGATCAGCACGCCCAAGCCCCTCGCCTTCTCCATTGAGCGCATCATGGCGCGGACTCCAGAGCCCCGCTCCATCCCCGTCCCGCAGCTCCTCCATGGCTCCGTGGCCAAAGGCGACCCCAAGCACCCGTTGCATCTCAACTCTTCCATCCCCTGCATGATCCCATTTGTCCCGGTGGCGTACGACACCCTGCCCAAAGCGGCGGTGGCCGGAGCGGAACCCAGGAAGGCTCACTTAGACTCCTCTTCCTCACCCTCCTTTAGCTGCGGCGATCTCTTGAACTGCGCCCTGAGCTTGAAAGGAGATTTCCCCCGCGATGCCCTGCCCTTCCAGCAGTACAAACTGGTAAGACCCCGAGTGGTCAATCACTCCTCCTTCCACGCCATGGGAGCCCTGTGCTATTTCAACCGAGGCGACAGCCCCTGTCACCCGTCCTCCAGTGTCAACATCCACCCGGTGGCTTCTTATTTCCTCAGCTCTCCCTTGCACCCGCAGTCCAAGGCTTACCTGGCGGAGCGGAACAAGCTGGTGCTGCCGACCGTGGACAAGTACCCGGCGGGGGTGGCCTTCAAGGACTTATCGCAGGTTCAATTGCAGCACTACATGAAAGAAAGTGCTCAGATCCTCTCAGAAAAAATCTCCTATAAAACCTCTGAGATCAGCCGCGGCTCTCCCAGCAGCAAGCCCAAAGTTTTCACGTGTGAAGTTTGTGGAAAGGCAAGTAGCGCCGCAGCCCCTTTCCCTTCCTCGGCTTCCTGTCCCCGTTCGTCTGTCCGCCGGTTGTCAGTCCCTTGCTTGATTGATTTTTAAAAGACGGCTTCCCCTCATCACTCTCATCTTCTAATAGCAATTTCATTTAATTATTTTTGTCTGATTCCTCTTTACAGGTATTTAATGCACATTATAACTTAACGCGCCATATGCCAGTGCACACGGGAGCCAGACCCTTTGTTTGCAAAGTTTGCGGGAAGGGTTTTAGACAGGCGAGCACGCTTTGCCGGCACAAGATCATCCACACCCAGGTGAGCGCCCCCTCCGTCCCTTCCTCTCTGCCCAAGACCCTCCACTCACTTTTTTCGGGTTGCTCGGCGATGTCCGACTGCTCTGAGGCAGCGGCGTGCGGTGTGGGGCGGCCGATCCAGAGCCGCGGGGGGATGTCGTTTGCCCCAAGCGCGGTAGGTACCTCCGGGTGTCCCGCACCGGCAGCTGCGAGCCGTCAGTTAACACATACACCCCACAAACTAGGTCATACACCACGCAAAACAGCACACAGACCCCGGCAACCAGAAGACAGACCCCGCAAAGCACCCAACAAGCCGTGACTTGGTGTTTGTTTCTCTCCAGGAAAAGCCACACAAGTGCAACCAGTGCGGCAAAGCCTTCAACAGGAGCTCGACGCTGAACACGCACACTCGAATACACGCCGGCTACAAACCATTTGTCTGTGAATTTTGTGGCAAAGGATTTCACCAGAAAGGTACCAGTCTCCAGCTCCCTCTCTCTTGCCCCGCTTTCCTCTCCCCAGTCGAGGTCAAGTGTCGGGACAATTCGCGACAGGAAGGCTGGTGGGGAGTTAATTTTGTTTTAAATATTTATTATTAGAGATTTAGGTTAATTTTAAGTATCGCTAGCCCCGACATATCTCCTTTGGCCTAGCCCACGGAGCGGGGCAGAGGTCTCGTTCCGGGGGGAGCGCGGGGAAATCATTCCGCGGGAAGAGCCCCTTCTCCCCGCACTGCAACACGCAGTTTCCAGCGCGATTCGGCAAATAAGTTCGCTGATTTTTTTCGCCTCCAAATGCAAAAATTTAATTATTCCCCCCCCCCCGCGCGTTGTTGGGAAGGCTAAATCCAGGCGGTTTATTTCTGCAACTGTCGCGATTTTTGTTTTTTCGATCGTTCCCTTGTCGTCTGTCCGAGGAACAGCCGCGGGGATGATGATGAGAAGGTGGGCATTTGCTGAGAGATCGGCGGTCGTTTAAGCCTAAAGCCGAGCTCTGGGCACAAGACAGGGTTTGGGGATTTTTATATTTTTCTCCTTTTTGCAGCGTCGATCTTGCAAACCGAGATCCCTTTGCCCTTCTTGTCTCGTTCCCAGGCAATTACAAAAACCACAAGCTGACTCACAGCGGGGAGAAGCAGTTCAAGTGCAATATCTGCAACAAGGCTTTCCACCAGGTGTACAACCTGACCTTCCACATGCACACCCACAACGACAAGAAGCCCTTCACCTGCCCCACCTGCGGCAAAGGCTTCTGCAGGAACTTTGACCTCAAGAAGCACGTCCGCAAGCTGCACGACAGCGCCCTGGGACTGCCCCGGCCCCCCGCCGAGCTGGGGGGGCCCGACCCACCGCCCCCGCCCGGGCCACTGCTGCAGGGCCCGCCGCCGCTCCAGCCCTGAGGGGCGGCCGCCCGTGCGAGCCCCCACCGCCTCTTTGCATGCACCTGTTAATTGGTTTTGTGTATTATGCTCTATATCGCCACTAACGTTTATGAGACTGATTGCTGGGGTTTTTTTATTTTTTTTGTTTGTTCTTTAAAGACTCAATTTTTTGTTGTTGTTGTCGTTGCATCTCAGGTGGAGAGATGGTTTTAAAAAAAAAAAAAAGAAAAAGCGCCAAGCCAATTTCTGCTGTATTTATTTGGGATCTGTATTACCCGAGCGGGGAACGCTGAACCACTTTATAATTATTTCGATGTATATATATATCCTCACTGTGTTGATCCTGTCCTGCCTCTGCTGCCTGCTGGTTATCCCACCCTTCTTGGTTTCCTCCTTTCCCTCTTCTCCCTGAATATAGTATCTATATGGACAGAACTGTTCTCTATGTACGGATTTGAATTTCGGATTGATTCTTGCAAGTGGAGGGAAAAAAAAAAAAAAGAAAGAATTCGTTGACCTGGTGGAAATAAACCTTTGCCGAGGAGTGACTGCGGCGGCGGGGCTGCGGTGCGGCCGGGCGGGCGGGGACCGCGGCGTTGGCGCTGCCGCACGGCAAAGCTCTCCCGCGTCCTTGCCAAAACACTGAAACAACCGCTAAAGACTTTAATTAAGAGGGGTAATTAGTTCGGATTGATCAAAGCCCAGTTGTTATGTTATTAGCTGCTCAGCAGACTCTGCCAAGCTGAGCCTTGAAAACAAAGCCCGCCCGTCGGTGGGCGGTTGAGGAGCAGCGGGAGGGGGCGTCTGGGATTATACGGCTCCCGGGGTAACCGAGCCAGGCATGGGAGACGGGTGCTACCCTCCGGGAAGGGCAGGCGGGCTCGCTCACCTCCCGCTGCTGGCGCAGCGCTGTGCCCGCAGCTCACCTCATGCTCAGAGTCCTTTCCCGGGCAGGGGGCCGGGCAGTGCTTCCTTTCGGGGTAGGGCCAGAGGACGGCGGCGCGGCGCTGTCCGGGGAGAAGCGCAGGGTGTCCCGTGGGCGCTGGGACCTACCTGCGGATCCGTCCCGGAGTGAGCCCTGCAAGAACAGGTGATGTGGTGCCGCGGGGCATCCCTGGGTCTCCCCCAGGTTTTGCAGCACCTGGAGCCCTCCCTG